AAACTAATCACATTGGGGTTATTTATACTATTTATGCTAACATAAACGCTGTCATTTTCCCATGATTCTCTCTCACAATTAATGCTCGTTGACAATTTTTATGGATACGATTGACTTCATTATCTGAAAGGGTCTTAATTTGTACATGAAATCGAACAGTCAAGGCCTTTAACATTACTACGTCGTCATGTTCGACGGCATAATGGACAGGCGTATATTCATCTTGATCTTGAGCACAAGGATCACTGCCTCTCATAAGCAATAGTCGAATGTAAACATACGAAAATGAGTGTATGACCGCAAAGTGTAGTAGTGTCTTTAAAAAAAGAAGTAGCATGTACGGAAAGGTTCAGAATTAAGCTAATGCTTACCTGATTATATTCATTTCGCATAAGCACAACTTCTTGGTGATGCGATTGTAATAGTTTCTGAATTGACTCAAAATCTCCATGAGCAGCGTAGTAGAACAGTCTTCTATATGTGAAAAAATAAAAAAACGTTATACATTTAAGTAAAAGAATGGCAGCGGTAATTTTGTAAAGAAATTTTGATAGAATAAAGACGGAGACTTCCGGTCACCGCCTTGCCATTGCACATCACATTGGACCAGCAAATATCAGAACATTTCTTAAAGGGACTTTTCATGTAGAGTTTTGGAACCAAGATCATTATCCATGTTTAGCGGAGATGTTTAACTTCAACTAGACAAACTATCTTTTCGCTTCGGAAGTTTTCTAGAAAAGTGTGTGAAGAACTAATTAATCCATAAAATTTTTTCAGTTCATGAGATTGCTTATTATTTAAGTATTGAATAATAAGTATATCCTGAAAGCTCAAGGTGTTTAGCTCGATTTCGATTTGATAATGGACTTTTTAATTTTAATTAAAACTAATCACATTGGGGTTATTTATACTATTTATGCTACACGTCGTAGTTCTGAGATAAAGATTTCTGAAAGACCCTGTTTTCTAGAAAACCTAGTGATCTTAAAGTTTCTTTCAGAAGCCATATCATTAGATCGCCCCTTCGATTCTCGATAAAATAAGATGCTAGCCAAGTTTTTACGATGTTGTATCAAACAGTGGGATGGAAAAATACGATACAGTTCGAAAACGGCATTAACGCGACTGAATTTATATTCACAGTGTTAAAAAGCCTGTAACTCGAGTTCGACAAGTTAAGGCAAGTCCGCCGGAAAATGACGAAAATGCATTTTTCTGCTGCGAGGGTAAAATGGCTATAGCTTTTTTTCGAACAAAGCTGGAGACCTGCGGTTGTCACCATTTGGTTCAGCTTGTTGAGCTCTATAATATGAGGTGGGTCTCGTCACTGACGTCAAAGGCCGATGAGAATAGTAAACGGTTTTGTATGGATTTAGCCTATCCGTTGATGCCGAAACCATCACTCTCCAGTAGTATTTCTAGTGTTAGGACTAGGGGTGGCACTTTCCCGTTCCTTTCCCGAGTAACGTTAAAGTGGTAACTTTTATTTCAAAAGTAAAGAGTAAAGATATAATGTATATCTTTTTCTTTCCTAAGAAAAAGGAAAGTGGCACCTTTTCTTTTCCGAAAGAAAGAAAAGCAATATCTTTTCTTTTTGCAAGAAAAAG